GTACCTCGTACCGTACGGTACAGTTTAGCTCATACTAGACCTTTTGCGTTCGTAGTCACGATTCATGGTGTCAAATTCGGTCTAAAAAACAAAAAACAAGACAGAACCGGGAAATTGTTGCCAAAAATTGTCTCCTCACAAGATTTAAAGGTCGACGTATCATAAACATTCCTCCTTTTTTCCAAGTGTACAAAATGTATTTGTGGCGACGCAAACTATGATTCATGAGGAGATATGCAACTTGATCATGATCTTAAAAAATTTGGCGTGGGAATGGGTAATTCAAAAGAACATTCATATCGTGATGGACATCTGTTGTCGTAAACACTCTTCGCAATCCTTATGAAAATCAAAAGACACTTGACTTAATTTGAGATAATCAGAAAAATAGGAAGCGTTCAACATGGCTCCGATATCGTTGCGATTCGAGCTCCCGTCCGTAGTATCAACGAAAAGTTATGACAAAATAATTCCTCCATCGATTGTGAATTTAAATCGCAACAGAACGAKTTCAACCAAAGCGTCGTCGTGCACAACATCTGACTCGTCTGCAACGTATGGTTCGTCTAGCTCATCTAGCTCATCTGAAGCATATGAYACGCCTCAAGTATACGACTCCTCTTCAACAAATGGCTCTTCTTCGACATCTTCCTACTACCGCTTTCCCTTTCATCGACAAGATGAATTCCAAAATGACAATTCGACTCTGAGCTATGACAATAGTAGTCTAACAACGAACACATCATCAAGAACAACAGAAAAATCGGATACTATTCAATACTTGCCGGAGATAAGTGAAGCATCTACTACAGAAGAATCGCTGTCTGAGTCACATTATATCTTGGTGGAAGAGGTTGAGGATATACAAGAGGTCAGAAATGAAGACGACGAACAACTTGTCGATGATACAGTTCGAAGCAGATCAATCACACTGAAATGGGACAATGGGAATTCGCANGTACCTCGTACCGTACGGTACAGTTTAGCTCATACTAGACCTTTTGCGTTCGTAGTCACGATTCATGGTGTCAAATTCGGTCTAAAAAACAAAAAACAAGACAGAACCGGGAAATTGTTGCCAAAAATTGTCTCCTCACAAGATTTAAAGGTCGACGTATCATAAACATTCCTCCTTTTTTCCAAGTGTACAAAATGTATTTGTGGCGACGCAAACTATGATTCATGAGGAGATATGCAACTTGATCATGATCTTAAAAAATTTGGCGTGGGAATGGGTAATTCAAAAGAACATTCATATCGTGATGGACATCTGTTGTCGTAAACACTCTTCGCAATCCTTATGAAAATCAAAAGACACTTGACTTAATTTGAGATAATCAGAAAAATAGGAAGCGTTCAACATGGCTCCGATATCGTTGCGATTCGAGCTCCCGTCCGTAGTATCAACGAAAAGTTATGACAAAATAATTCCTCCATCGATTGTGAATTTAAATCGCAACAGAACGAKTTCAACCAAAGCGTCGTCGTGCACAACATCTGACTCGTCTGCAACGTATGGTTCGTCTAGCTCATCTAGCTCATCTGAAGCATATGAYACGCCTCAAGTATACGACTCCTCTTCAACAAATGGCTCTTCTTCGACATCTTCCTACTACCGCTTTCCCTTTCATCGACAAGATGAATTCCAAAATGACAATTCGACTCTGAGCTATGACAATAGTAGTCTAACAACGAACACATCATCAAGAACAACAGAAAAATCGGATACTATTCAATACTTGCCGGAGATAAGTGAAGCATCTACTACAGAAGAATCGCTGTCTGAGTCACATTATATCTTGGTGGAAGAGGTTGAGGATATACAAGAGGTCAGAAATGAAGACGACGAACAACTTGTCGATGATACAGTTCGAAGCAGATCAATCACACTGAAATGGGACAATGGGAATTCGCAYAAGTTGTCATGTTGGGCAGCYAATGATGAAAGTAGTTATGACGACGAYGACGAACATGAGCTACCATCGGGSATTTCAAAATCTGACATTATGGTCACAGTTGATATTGATGACGAAGCGCGATCATCTCGAGTGGAAGCATTAGACGAAGAAGATCTTGACGTAGAAATTCTTMACCATAAAAGACGTAGCAGCGGGTCAAACAGCCCTCGAAAGCAGCGCCATCAACAACGACAGGATTTCGAAAACTCGGTCCAAAAGGGCATTCTTGATGATCTGAGTAGTGTATACACAGCAACACCGAACACTGCAAAACTCGTGCTTTGCGTTGTCATTTCAGTCATGTCAGATGGGACATTAGAGCACACATTTTGGAGCGGTGGGAGAGTTGGTTTGACTGAATTGGCACTCCAATGGGTTTTATTTGACGCAGACAACCTTCAAGTTTTTAAACGTGGACGGACCGTTCAAAAAAGAGACTTTGGTTTCGGACCTCTCGGTTTGACCCAAACCGAAGGGCAACATTATCTGACTTCATCACTGGCACCATGGGCTGCCAATGACATCATGCGAAATGTTGGATATGGTGTGCTCGAAGAYCTGTTGGTAGAGATTTGAATTGTAAATATAGTCCATGAATAGTAATACAAGACAATAAACGAAACCTATCTCGCTCGTTGCTGGACGCACTTTTTGCAGTCTGCAGAAGATAAACATAAAAGGATATGATTCTAACTTGTCTAAAATCTATTGCTATCACACYCTGTCATGTTTCCTGTTTTTTTCTTCTTGAAWAGTGTAAATCATCTTCGATTAWCTTGTCTTTGTTCCACGTGTCAGAAAATATCAATTCTTTCACATATTCCCAGATCACTTCAGTGCCCACAGAGTTCGAGAGGCGGTTGCTATCAGGAAATGGTCAAATTTTTTT